TATTTGATTAGGGCCCAATTTATATATATATATATATATATATATATATATATATATATATTAAGTATATGAAATATATACGAGAAATACAACAAATAAACTCACAAACCCTTCTCACCCATTTGGTGAGGTTTGAACCCCTGACGCTTAGGAGGCTAAAGACTACGATACCACTAGGTCAAAGGCCTTTGGATTATCATGATATATTTGCATCTGCATTTTCACAATTTATCCAAAATCCAATGTTCTTGCAAGCTATAGCACCTACTTTGACATTTTCATAGTTCAAAATGTCAAGCAAATATCATTAACTCATTCTTACATTCCTTCAAGTAATAAATCCCATTCATTCATCAAACTAATACCAGTAAAAAAATAATCTTGAAAAAAATTACAATTAATCCTTCAATTTGTAGCTATAAGTAATCCGTGTTTGTAGATATACACACTGTATCTGCTCCAACAAAGTTGAATGAATCAAAATCAAACGAACCCATTATATCTTGTATATCCCACCTAAAAGCGAGGTTTCTAGGCGTGCAACGAGGCCCCACCTTCAACAATGTTGCGTGTTCATCAATGAATTACCCAAAAAATGTTTCTTTTCGGCATGTGAAGAATTTGGATTTCAAAAGCTTTCAAACTTTTGAAATGGTGGATGAAGTTGAATCATAATTCATAAATATACTTACGGAAACATGAATCCAATCATCGTGGGCATCAGTCTTATCAAGCCTCGGGTCTTTTGGTCTTGTAGAAAACATAAGCAAGTAACAATGGGATCGTGAAGCTATAAAACGGAAAATGAACCAACGGGTTCATCTCGTAAGCTTTCATAAGCGCTCTACAATTCTGCATCCATAAAAGGAGAACATAAAAGCATGAACTTATTAACAAACAATAACAATAATAACAATATTTACAGTGTCACGAAAGCAAAATATAAGCTACGTAAGGCATATTATGAATATTTACGAAAGCAAGAAGACAATTCACTCTATAAAACCAGATCAGACCAAACACACTCAGTATATCCCATTTGATACTCCTTCCATCATCCATGAAAATTATGTTGCTTAATTTGACACAAAGTTTCAGAGAATTCTCTTAATTTGCTAAATATCTGAAATATTCTTCGATAAATGCACAATAGAGGAATGCTTAAATACAATTGATAATGAGCAAATAGGTAACTCTTAAGATTTTCAACGTTGAAACTCTCCAAATCGACATCCGGAAAAGGAAATTGTTCTACTTGTCATAGGTCGAATGGATATAAGTAGCTAATTGTCGTGCCATCGTTAGAAACATATTAATGGTATTGACTTGGCCCAATAAGGTTCTTCTTCAAAGGGTATTTAAGACATTTTGCAAATAGTTAACACTACGATTTTCATGGGAAGGAGAGAGTATTTTAGCTTTGAAGACACGTGCTTATGTAGGGACAGGTTCAAACGAGAACTATAAATACTTTACAAAGAGGGTTATTCATGAAATAGTTGGTTCTCAGGTTCTCAAAATATGTACGGTTCTCACTTTAACTTCCCCTGCTTATGTAATATGTGCACTACTCATATATTTCTATTTTCATCTACTAGGGAAAAATAAATGAGAACCATAAAAAGGCTATAAAACCCGTGAGAACCGATCTAAAATTATTTTTTACATGATTTTTTTCATCAAAAGCTAGAATTTAAGGTATTGTTTCACATATATTTGTTTCATAATGTGATATTTTCACACGTATTTGTTCCCAATGTGAAACTTTCTTACATGAAAGTTCTCATTTCACTATATGAACCAAAAAAAGAGCTTCATATGTATTTTTTTTCCACAATACAAATAGAAACATATCTGAAGCAATACTTTAAATCATAACCTTTGATAAAAAAACATGTAAAAAGATAATATTTCTATATTTGTTCTCACGGGTTTGTACCCTTTTTATGGTTCTCATTCAACAACCAACCATCATCTACTAGCATTACAGTTATAGATCAAAATAATACTCACCTTGAAATGCTTCCAACAAACTGCAAGAGAGAAAACAAAGAGAATACTCCGAGCCCATCTACGCAACTTCTCCAAAACGCGCCCATTTCCGTGATTGATTGACGTAAATCTTCCATTCTTTACGCTATTATCATCTCTTTTCTTCTCGGAAAGTGAACAAACATGATCTCGATACATCGCTCTCTCAGCAGCCACCGCCCCAATTATAAAAATTGCAGGTAAAACCACAAAATAAAGATGAGGAATAACAACCACCATTATATCTGGCCATCCAAGAAATTCCAATTTTCCAAGATCATTAAAATCCACCACCCACCCTTTATACGTCATGTATCCCCTATCATCATCACCAATGAAAACTTGGCCTAAAAGCCATGGACATAATAGAAGATAGAATAAGTAAGCCAACATCATTTTCCACAAAAATGGAACACTGTACACCTCAGCAAAAACCCATATCAAACCATTTAAAAACCCTTTATTTGCCTTGAAAAACCCGTACGAACACTGGTTTTTCCACCGAGAAATGATGGCTTTTGGTAGAAGAAGAACGATGAATGCAAGAAAATAGAATGACCAGAATATCGGGTAGTATAATGCCGCCCATTGACAGCCCATCACAAAAAACTCTTTCCATGTCCATGAGAGATCAGCACGAAGACCATTTAAAGAAAATGGTCTTGGTTCAGTTGAACTCAATCTATCATTGATATCAATCGCTTCAATTTCTAGCCAATATCTATCGGGAGACAGGTCCATAAAAGCTTTTGAGTTCCATGGGGCAGTGTATAGATTTCCATGCTTACTCATAGGCGTTTCTAGAACCATATAGAGATCCCCACGGCTTGAGTCGTATATTTTTGCCTTAACTGATACAATCGGTGTTGAAGAAAAAACAAGAGATCTGATGTGGGATGCATCATCCATTGACTGGCATTTGTATTTGTTCAACTCAGTTGTTGACATATAGCGGGAATCCAATGGATATGTAGGCAATATCAAGATTTCTTTAGCTCCTATCTTCAAATCAGTGTCGATAAATGAGACACGCCCTCTATCTATGGCCATAATGCGCATAGCTCGACTTTTCCTCCAGTCGCCCATTTCCCACTCCCAAAATTCATCGACTGTTGGACCTCCACTTGGACAATTTGTGCTACTGGATGAAGTTCTTTGATGTATATTTAGTTGGAAAAGGTGGTGAGAGTTTACAAGGTTGTGATCCATTTCATGGTGCCTCTTCAAATTCTTACCGAATCGCGTATGGAGATGTCCACAAAGGTAAGCTGTTATAGAGTGCTTGAGAAAAATATCTTTCAGGGTTCTTTTCGAATGCGAGGGTGCCGAAAATGATAGCGGAAAGTGCCCAAAGGCTATTTTGGTTAATGGCTTTACAAATGTGGAATCCCATTGGGAGAGATGAGAGTTCAGTTCAGTTAACAGTTGGTCAGTGGGATGCCCAAAAAGATTTGTGGGACCCCGTAAGCCTGTGGACATTGTGCTGTCAAATGAAACGAATAGAAGATTCCGTTTGCTAGTCTGAGTGATGAAACACAGAAAATAAGTGTTTATTGAAAGGATGTAATGAAGTGTAAACCAATCAATATTAAGTAATAATGGTACTAAAGCTTTAAAATAATAGCTAAAATACAAAAAGCTTTCGCATTATTCCAAATAGAGCTGTTAAAGAGATATGCGCAAGTGTAACTAAGGAGTTGTTTGGTTGGTCTTCTATTAAGTTATGTATTGATAAAACTGTCTATGTGGATTAATGGGTCTCTAAAGATTAGGAAGGTTTTTGTTTGGGAGTGTTTTTTCATAGATGGAAGGAGCGTGTTCTTTTAATTGGGAGGGGCAGATTTGGAATAAACTTGGCCTTTTGCATAAATCTCACCCTTAAAAGCTTACTGAATAAGCCAATTTCTATATCATTAAGCCACTACCAAACAGTCATGTATACCTGACTGAATAAGTTGTGAGTCCCATTAAGCTCATTAAGCTGCTAAAAAAACATGCTCTAAGTGTAACCAAGGACTTCCAACTTGTTTTTGTGTGTGTGTGTGTGGTATATAATGGGTATGTTTGGTTTGGTTTACAGCATACAGTAATTTTCAACAAATTGTTGGCAATTTTCAAATTTGATGGGTGTTCACTTGGTTTGATTGGCCTCTTGTGTTGGTAAGGAGTCCCTTCGTGTTGCCCTTAATAGGGGTGTAAACGAATCGAGTTGAGTCAAGTAGCAGGTTATTCGAGCTCCGCTCGAAAAAATAATATCATGCTCGAGTGCTTGACTCAAGCTCGATTAACTTTTTGAAGTCGGGTTCGAGTTCAAACTCGAATATTTTTTCAATGTTTGAGTTCGATGCTCGTTTATGAGCTCAAATTCGAGATCGATTAACTTGTTTATTTACTCAAGCTCGATGATTTATATTTTGATTATATAATTTGTAAACATACAAATATGTTTGGCTCGAAAAGGTGTATGCTCAAATGGCTCAGCTCGGTTCAACTCGACTCATAAAGTTTAATCGAGCTTTCGAACAAGTCGAATCAAACATTGGTGTTATAGAGCTTGACTCGTTAAGTTAAGTGAGCTTTATTTTGTGTTCGAGATCAACTTGAACTCGATAACTATTAAGCTCGAGCTAGAGATAAACGAGCTCGAGTAGCTCGTTAAAAGCTCGACTCGTTTACACACCTAGCCCTTAAGAACTAACAGGCTTGATGGATGGACTAATAACTATGGTTGGTTTGGCTAGTTAGACTCGATCTAATAGTTGGTTGAGTGGTTCACTTGCTGGTTGGACTCCTTCACTTGGTTTCTTCTATGAAGATTGGTCATGCTATTTGGGATACCTGGTTTATTCTCTATTTAGATGTTGTTTATTAGGCCGACTGCTCTAGTTTGATTGCAGATCGGGATTCTGAACTTAAGGGTCAAGTTGCTAAAGGGCCAAGATTCAGTTGGGTTGTTTGGATTTCACTTGGATGATTAATTTGTTTCTTGGTTTGGTATTTCGTTAGTGCTTCAATTCATGTCAGCATTTTCTTTTTCAAATTGCTTGTCATGCAGTGGGAGTTGTTAGCCATCATCCACTCGCTCTGATCCATATTGGTGAATGAAGGAAAAATTGCCAAAATCCACTCAAGATTCAGTGGCAGATAACAAGGGTCTAGATGAAACAGCAAAATATACAATGGGTTTCACATAAAATTGCAAAATGTACAAGAAATGGAGCTTCAAGTAAACACTAACCTGCAGAGTAACACTATTGACAGATTGACTTCTTTCCAGTTGCCCAGTGATGCTATAGTTTGAAAAATAGTCAAATGCGCCATAAATGGCGGGCACACCAAAATTATCATGATTTCCTCTAAGATCATAAAAGATGCTCTTATTAAGACCACTCCTCTTGATAACATCTTCCATTGTTTTTTGATATTCCACCCACTCTTCTTCATTCTGCTTCATTGTTAATAGATCCTTGCTTTTACCATCTGGTAAGAATTAGATGGGTAAACATCTTCATAGTCTCGTAGTGATAAACAACTTTGGTTTAAGATGTGGTATATCTTAAAGAGAAAAAAGTAACAATTTGAGCAGGATTTGGAATATTAATGAGGTCCATGTATATGTGAATCTATGAGCTCTTGTTCTCAGCTTTGCTGTATTTGGCAAACACGAAAACTTCAAATATAAGATGAACATGATTAAGCTTCTGTCTGTTAGCAGTTTATTGAACTTAATGGGACTCACAGCTTATTCAGTCAGTTATGCATGACTGTTTGGTAGTGGCTCAATGATATAGAAAGTGGCTTATTCAGTAAGCTTCTAGAGAGGAGCTTTACACCGAAAGCCAAAGTTTTTACAAACCCATCCCTCCCAATTAAAAACATGCTCCTTCCATCTATGAAAAAACCTTCCCAAACAAAAACCTTTCCAATCTATAACAAACAGATTAATCCACACAGGCAACTTTATCCATATAGCACTTGATGGAAAACCAACCAAACAGCCCCTAACATGTGTCTAATAACAGAACTCCACGAAGAACACAAGTTACCTAAAAAGTGCCTTAAATAATCCCAAGAAAATACAAAAGGCAACAATTTGTGCATGGTTTGGGTTGCCACTTAATCATTTGGAAAGCTAACAAGAATATAGTTTTGAAGCAACAAAATGTTGATATCTTTTGGCAGAAAAAGTCGTTTAAAAGATCTAAAACAGTAATTTTTGGTATTTCATATCAAAACAAAGAAGAAATATGCCAAGAAACATCATCAAAACCACCAATTCATCAAATCCTTAACATATCGACAGTGAACAACTACATGATCACCTAATTTCCCAAAAATAAATGAAAATTTGGTTATTTATCCAGCAAATGATTTCGAACAAGTAAAATTTCGATAATAGAATACCAGTGAGATCGCCGGTGATGAGGACCAGTGAAGGATTGATCAAGGAAAGAGTCGAACCAACAAATTTCTGGAAATCAGAAGCTCTCTCAGGATGATGAACACTAAAATGAAGATCAGATAGCTGAACGATCCACACCACATCATTATCACCCTTGATTTCTAGAATTTCTCTGTTCTTCCCGCTGCTACTATAATTGTGGCATAAGAACAAAAGGATCAATAGCATCGTGGTGTTGATACGCATTTCGTTGAATTGTTGTTTGTATGATCCTCTCCGGCGGTGTGATTCCGGTCAAGGGTTTCGTGGTGGGGGTTTTGAGATTGTTTGGACGACCAGTTCGGGTCGGGTCGGGTTTCCTGTAATTTTGATTGTCTGAATAAATAAAAATAAAACTAACTCATAACGGATTAATCGGGGTGATACTTTGATACTTAAAATATTTTTTTAATATTAAATATGTTATTTTTTTATTTATAATTTATTTTTCATCATCAACCATTTGATACAATTTATTTATACTTTTTACGTATATCACATTCAATTAATTTTCTCAATTTTACATATATATGTTCACAGTTTCTAAACATATATACGAATAAGTTATATAGAGATGTGAATAGATTGAAAATATATGTATATGAAGAATTTACATGATAGAGTAATTGTCTAATGTATATGTTAATATTCTCATTAATTACTGCTTAATAAATATACCCATATCACTAGAGGTGCTCAATAACACGATCAATCTAACGCGAAATAACTCAATCATAAGCAACTCGATGTCTAATTAAGTTGTAAATTTTTTAAACTATAAGTATTAGATTGATATTGGGTTACTATTATTTGAACCCATCCAAATTCGATAAACCCAATATTCTTTTATTTATTGAATTTAATACGATTATTGAATTTATATTAATAAAAAAATTATCGTATTATTATATTGAAATTTTAACAAAACATGTACCTATAGTTGCATTTTAGTAAATTGGGTCCTTGTAGTTGCATTTCTAATGAGTTAGGTCCTTATAGTTGCATTTTTAACGAGTTAGGTCCTTGAATTTGATAAATGAGTTGGGGTTCTTATGGTTGCCTTAGGGACAGGGACCCAACTCATTGGAAAATAGAATCACAATGACCCAATTCGTTAGTTTTTTTCAAAACATGGACAATATCTGTTAAAAATACCAAACAACACAGATGAAAATTGTAATTCAATGTATATAATATAACACCACAAGTAAATTAAATGTTTCGTCTTTGTGGTTAAGCTCGTTTTAACAGTCATTATCCTTTTTTTTTAAATTCAAAGGAACTTTTTTTTTTGAAGTATATAATACTTATCTACGACAAATAGTATAAATAAACTCACACACCCTCCTCATATTTGATTAGGTTTGAACCCTTGACCTCCTAGGAGGCGAATGACTCACATATTGTTAGGCTAAAGGCCCTTTGTAAAGGAACGTATCTTTGTCCTTGTGTTTTTTGACGAATTACTTCCATGTGGTTGCGTTTTCGTTAATGAGTTTGGTCCATGCAATTACAGTTTTAATCAATAAATAATATAATATAATATTAAGGGGCCGTTTACCAAATGCTTATTTGGGTAAGCGTTTACCAAGTCATATTACTTTACCAGATGAATATGACAATGATAAAAAATCTTACCTATTAGAGAGAAGGCACGAACCGAGAGTCTTATCGGGTAAGTGATGACGACGACTCTTATAATGACCAACGCTTATCGGGTAAATTGTTACATACAATGTCGTTTTGGTAGACAAAATATTACCTGATAAGTAAGCAATAGAGTTAAATTTTACCATTAAAAGCTTATCGGGTAACTGTTTAGGTAAACGACCCCTAAGAAATTAAATTTTTCGTCTTTTGTGATTAGGTCTATTTAAGGACACGATCATTTGAATTTTCAAAATAAAAAAAAAAGGGACAAGAACCGTTAATAACATACAACTACAAGGGCAACACATGTAATTTATTCTAAATATTAAATTTCATTTTTAATAAAAAGAAAAAAAAAACAAAATGTACGGAGTTCGGTAAATGGACGAAAACCGTAAGGAATTACAGACCACAATAATAACAACCGTAATTTCTAAAGACTAGGGATGAAAACACTGATTTTACACGAATATTTACTTTTTTAAAGTATATAATATTTATATATGATAAATGAAAGTTTTGAAAGTATGTTATCTAAAATAGAAACTCATATAAATTACGTTACTTTTTCATGCAATTTACCCCTTACAGAAATACTTGGATGTAATACAAAATCTTTCTCCCCATGGACAAAAAAATGATAGCATTTGGAACAGTATCACCAAGCTATGTCAAGACTAATCCTGACAAAATGCAACTGTAAGACATCAACATATTAGTCCTAATAAACTCAAAAGCACAATTGTGGACACCTGGAATCGAACCCAAGACATATAATAAGATATTCCACCACATCCCCTTGAACCTCAACCACTGCACCACAATTCACGATGAAATCGACATAAAATCAACTACTCAGATCAACATAAAATGGAGAATCATTTATGCTTATGAAGATGACCCTAGTCGATGATCGAACCGCCAAGCAAGTTGTACTCAACCTAGCAAACGGACACGCCCCAGAGTTATTCAAAACAAAGAACTAGCACAGATCGCAGTATTTGACTTCACACAAAGTTCAATAAAATGTTGAAAGGCATTGTGCATAGCATAAGGGCGTGTTTGGTACACGGACAAGACTAAGGGGTCGTTTACCTAAACACTTATCAAGTAAGCACTTACCGATAAAATTCAACATTATCGCTTACTTACCGGGTAAGATTTTATTCACTAAAACGCATGGTATGCAACAATTTATCCCGGTAAACGCTAACCACGGTAAGAGTCATCGTCCTCACTTACCGGGTAAGACTCTCGATTCTTGTCTTCGCTCTTACCGGGTAAGATATTTAGTTCTTGTCATATTCATCCGGTAAAGTAAAAGTGAATTGGTAAGCACTTACCCAAATAGACGTTTGGTAAACGGTACCTAAATAGGATTATAGGATTCAACAAGAGTGGACCAGCAAGACTGAAGTGGGCTGGTAAAATAATTGTAGAAGGTTTTACCAATCTTATCACATCTACCTAATTATACCAAAAAAACGCATTTTTGCCCCATCCAGGTCCTATCCTGTCCGAGTCTAATGTTGCATCGAACGTGGAACAAGTGTTTGTTTTTGTACTATCTTATACCATGTACCAAACATACCCTAATTAATGACAATATAGAAGAAAATTTGACCAAAAAACACAAGAAATGCTTCCGAAAGCATCATTGTTTCAACAATGACCGCAGACAATCAGTAAAATTACTAGAGAAAGAAAAGAACAGTGTTTCACAATATCGTCATCATCCAAACATATTTAGAGATGAGCAAAAAGAATCTCTAATCTACTCGAAAACACCAGTAAAATACACCAATTGCAGCCGCAACAGAACTTATTTAAGCAACAGGCATCAGCAAACTAATACTGCAACCTAGATGATAATTTCAAGTTTACTCAAGTAATATCCAATTACTTGGGAATTATGCAAAATGATGATCCGAATATCCAAACTATGAGGAAGGACGATATAAGATGATGAAAAGCATGTAAGCACAGTGTGACACAAAAAAAAAATAGAGATAAGCCGAAGGAAATGGTCTCCTGATGCAGATAATTTGCATGAAAATTCAAGAAAAGAAAACTAGTTTTGATGGCATACTGCCTATTTAGCCTGGGGATGAGATGCAATGAAGTCCACGGCATGGTTAATGGAGCTAATCTTGTCTGCTTCGGTGTCGGGGATCTCAAACCCGAACTCTTCTTCAAGTGCCATCACAACCTCAACAGTATCCAAACTGTCTAACCCAAGATCGTTTTGGAAGTGAGCAGTTGGCGTAACCTGCAAAAGGTGAGAGGACATAATAAGCATCATTTGTGATACAACAATCACTTCTTGATACAATAGATACCCCCTCCCCCCGGGGTCCCAAAATAAGTTTCTATATTTTTATTTTAGTTTGTCCCACGATAAGGGTCTGTTTGTTAGCAGCTTAATGAACTTAATGGGACTCGCAGCTTATTCGATCAGCTATACATGACTCTTTGGTATTGGCTCAATGTTATAGAAAGCGGCTTATTCATTAAGCTTCTAAGGGGGAGCTTTATGCAGATAACCAAGTTTTTTTCCAAACCTGCCGCTTCCAATTAAAAAACATGTTCCTTCCGAGTTCCATCTATAAAAAAACCCTCCCAAACAAAAACTTCGCAATCTATACAGACAGATCAATCCACACAGACAGTTTTACTCATTCAGAACTTAAATTTACTGAAAAGGCAGAGGGAGAGGAGATTGATCATACAAACAAAAATTTCCACAATCTATACAAACAAAAACTTTCACAATCTTTAATTTACTGAAAAGGCAGGGGGAGAGAGATTGATCATACACACACATATACTCCTTCCAATTTTTAGCACCAACGCTTATCTATTTGCAATATGTAATACAAAGTTCTATTTTCCTTCAATTGAGAAGTAGACATTCTTTAATTAATTTAGAATTACGAAATGAAATTAGGAAGTCAAGTTTTTAGCAAGATAGTAAATGCAAGCACAAATTCCATCAATTTCAACTAAAATAAGAACTCAACAAAAGACATTGAAACAACTGGAGCAAAAACTGGGTAACATAGTAAAACCTATCATAGACGAGCATAAATAGGGAAAGCCACAAACACACATAATGAGGATAGGGGAATAGATTGTCAATGAAAGCTGAATTGATAATAAGAACATGAAAGTAGAGCGGAGTGTTGGTTATATGTATGTCGTAGCAACATCTCTCCATGCAGAGACAGTGGAGGGCCCTTCTAAAGCGCAACTCATGGGTGGACATGAGATTAAAAGTGATCAAGGGTTCATACTTCTTCTTACGCTTCTCACCATAACTTCCCTTCACACATGATCCTTTGCCGATAAAGTATTACATCAAATTTAAAACAAAGTAAATCCATATACATATCGTTGTTATGTAGAGTCCAAAAACATACAAATCATATGCTTATTTTTTGACTCTATATTTTTATCATTTAGTGTCGATCCTAGTCTATATACTTATTTTGATTTCTCTTGTTGACTAATTGTGGTTTATGTGAGTGCATAAAATTATCCAACTTTCAATTGTTTCACCAATTCCTATTGTTGAGGTATATATTGAATAATCATTTAAAATTAGCTTTTTTATAATTAACCGTAACGTATAAATGTTAAACAAATAGGAAAGTAATTGTGCATTTAGAGAAACCAATTTAGTTTTCTTTTTGTAAACATTAGATTACAGATTAGAACTTTGGCTTACAATTCTAAAGTTTGAAAATGAACCCTCCCCCCTAAACTAAATACTGACTCCGCCCCTGCCTCCATGCATTCTCATCCTTGGAATTCTGGTGCGCATTTGGTTTCTCACGCATTGTTATGGACCCGGTATTTCAGACATGAGCCTTTCTCTAAATAAACTAGCAATACGCCAAAAAAAAGTTTAATTTTGAATTCAGCAGGCTACATAAAGATTAGCATGCATCACAGTGGCAAGTCAACATACTAGTCAAAACATATGACAATGGTAATAGGGTTTGCAGAAGCACAAGAACTCAAAAGCAAAAAGCATCGTAACAGAATAACATGAAGAGCAAAGCATACATATAATACTTGCTACTAGGTGAATATTTCTTCCATAGAGAAAATTTAACAAGTAATAACAATAAGAACACCACACATGAGTGAAGTACTTGAACAAGTGGTGGGAAAGCGAGCACAAGGAAACACTTGCAGTGATTTCCCGGCAATAGAAGATGGTGACAAGCAGAGTAGTTAGCACCATAGACTATCTCAATAACTTCCATACTTCCATATCAACTTAAAGCAATTGTTGGAAGTTATCACAGTAATTAAAGACTTATCCTAGTTCTAATTCAAACCAAATGTGGGTCAAGTCACAACACCACCCCCCAAAGCTTAACTTTCTAACGTCCTTATCAGACTACACAAAAATCAAACAAACTTGGAATCAATATCCACATAAGAACCTCAACAACAAAAATTACAAAGATATCCAAGGGATTTAGAAAGTCAAATTTTCAAATACCAATTCCAAAACTAATTAAAACAGTTTGTTTCGGTAATTTACATTAACAGTACATAAAGGTATCTTATTTAGGCACAAAGGAAGAGAGAGAACAAAATCCATTTCAACTTTTTATCTCAGGCGCATTGTCTCCCTGGACCAAAATATACCTCTAAGGCTCTAACCATGAGCTAAGGCTATAATATTCATGTTCTTTACCTAGTGGTGCTTTTACTTTTCCTAAAATTTAGCAAACACAAGTCGACTGTTGGTCTGAATATGAACATCATTGCAGCATACCAGTATTAATTCCTTGGAACCCACAAGATGGTACAAAATCAACTCTCTTAACCAACAATCAACAGAGCTTTAGCACACGTAACTCTCATACCAAAATATAAGACCATTATGCTAAAGACTTGAATATTGGAAATCCACATCTCTAGCTGTATCACTTTACTTAGCTAAAAACAGATCATCTTTATGGCAATGTATCAAATCCAATTTCTGGACATCCCTTTCATTCTTTCTTTCTCTGTAGATGATTGGATTAAATGGACTATTTGACTGTAAATTGTAAAAAAGTCCATACAGTTACTAACCAAATTCGTAAGAGATTACATAGCCGGTTGATCTTCCACCTATCAAAACCTTTTTCATTTCTAAAATTATTTTTTCCAGTTAATTAATATATCGCTCTTCAGAAAGGTCCCGTTCTCTGAATCATAATATCAACAAAAACCCTAATTCAAAAAGCTGTCAAATACAAAACCCCCCCATTTAAAATTATTTCATTTACCTTCGAAGGATCAACTTTCTGGAAATTCTTTACGCAAGTAACCACTCGATCAGTGACCTCCGACTTATCGAGGAAAGATCCTCTGACTTCCTCGGAGAAATGGCGCCGGAACAGCTGAATTACTCCTCCTCCGACCACTCTAGGGTTTCGAACGGATGAAGATTGCAAAACTGGTGTCGCATTCACACGCAGATACTTGAGAAGTGCATTTCTCGCCGCCATGGATAAAGACCTAGCTTAGCGATCAGGGAGAGAGAGTATGTATCGCACCTTCTTGCTCGGTGTGGCTGTTTAAGGGTTTACGTGTTGTAGCCGAATATATGGAGAAGAGTAAATTACATTTTTAATCCTTGTGGTTTGTTATGAATTGCAATTTTCATCCATATACTTTTAAAATTACAATTTTCATCCTTATAATTTACAATTTATTTATGCTTTTGTCCCTGTGGTTTACAATATTTTTTTGTTTTAGTTCCTCATACTTATGGGTTGTTTGTTTACCTCTTAATAGTTCAATTAAGAGACATCATTTTGCATTGTTAATAGGTGGATCTTGTTTGGCAAAAAGAATGGTCTGACTCTTAATGGTTCTAAAATTCTCTGAATAATTTTGTATCTTAAGCCTCTTTTAACCGTTTATCGGTATGTACTATAATCAATCAATTACGCTTTTTTCATCGACTGGGCTCGTTCATGTTTTTTATAATCGTTATCCACACGGGTCATTTATGTATATAACAATTAGCTTTCATCTACATTTGCATGATTGCCGTAAATTTACTTATGAATAATGAACTTCGTCTGTTTTCAAAAATTCGGTCGAGTAAAAAAGGGGCCTTCCTAGTCCTTAAAGTTGTTAGCCTCGTTTGCCAAGCGAATTATAGTCCAAGCCTCTTGGTCTGAGGAGGAGACCGAGTCACAACCACAGGGGCTACGGGAATGCACCCAAAACCTAATTTTGAAGCCTTGTCCAACCCAATATGAGTCTAGTGAGCCCAAAGCATGCAGACCATACCTCAAAGTTTGAACATACAAATTTTTGGGGACATGCCCAAGCCTAGATTCGGCCCGAAAAAACCGACATAAAGCCAGAAAAACTCAAGAAAAGGCCGACATGAAAAGATCGACTAAGCTCAGTTAGTTATTTTTTCAACCCGAAACCCTTCCGGGCCTAAACCCATAAAAGCTCGGTTGTTATGCATCTCTAATTTTATTCATGGAATAAAAAGGTGTTGAATTTTTTGTGTTAAGCAGAACTTAGAACAATTAAAACTAAAAGGGCAAATTGCATAAAAAACAACGCACTTTAACTTAATTACTATTTTGGGTAACATACTTTCAAAACTTCTATATTTGATACCTAAGATGCAACGTTTTAAACATACAAGTACTCGGGTAACCAGTTACAATGTTGGATGTGGTATCCAACTCAATAGTATTTGCTATTCAACCCAACTTCATCCCATCACTTGCCATATTAGGATAACCAATTAATACTTCAACTGGTTACTCGGTACTTAAATGTTAAAAACTTTACATCTTAGGTACGAAAATTAAAGCTTTGAAAACACATTATTCAAAACATGAATCAAGTTAAAATACATTATTTTTTCATGCAGTTTGCCTAAAACTAAAGTAAATTATGTTTTTCATTCATATGGTTTGTTAAAAACTGCCTTTTCTGTCCTTACGACTTTCAGATTGCGGTTTTCGTTCATATGGTTTGAACATCGTTACTATTGTAGTCCCGGAGGTTATTTCGTACTCTTAAGTTTTAGGAACTAAAATAGCAATGATTCGTAAACCATAGGGACGAACAATAAAAAGTTTAAATCAGAAGAACAAAAACAACAATAAATTGTAAACCAAAGAGATGAAAATCGTAATTTCAAAATTACAGAGGTGAAAATAACATATTTTAAATAACTATAGGGACGGAAAACGTAACTTACTCAAAATAAAAACGAAGAGTAAATTACATTTTTCGTCCTTATGGTTTGTTAATAATTTCAATTTTCATCCAATAGTTTAAAAATTGCAATTTTTATCTTTATGGTTTGTAATTTATTGCTAGTTCTGTTTATAGATTAATTCTTACCTGTAAGTACAAGGGACAAAAATAGTAAAGAATTATAAATTATAGGGACCGAAACAATAATAAATGAAAATAGTAAGGAGGAAAATAATAATGAATTACAAATAATAGGGACAAAAACTGTAAAATTTAAAACCACAAGGAAAAAAATGCATTTTTAACTAAACCACAAGGACTAAAAACGTAATTTACTCTAAAATCAGAGTCAGGCAAAGGCGGTTAAACCGATACTTTCATTTGGTATTGGACTCATCGGAGACGCGGATCTCCTCCAAGACGACGACGGTGGCAGAATCTCTGCACTCAGTGAACCTGAAGAATGATGACGATCATCTTCTATTCCGTGATTTTTGCTTTGATTGCTACTTTATCACACAAATTTCTCACAGGCGATGGTAATTATACATATTCCTTTCCCCTTTCCACTTATTCAGTTGTTCACCAACGATTTGAACTTTACTTTTTGTTATTTAGCTGATGCTGATGAATTCTTTGATTTTCCGTGTGTTTTGGTAGGTGATTTCACATTGCTGTTGAAAGGAAAAGTAAAGCGCGAAAGTTTTCAAGATAAGGTGTTCGAATTTTGGTTCGATTTCTGTTTTTCTGCTTTAGTAGAAGAGCTGCACTGGGTTTTCTCAACGCAGAATTAGCAATTTGAAAATGAAAAATGTTGACACCACCGATTTTGTTATAAATTATTAATGTTTAAGTTAAGTATTAGAACTGGTCTTAGTTGGAAAGTTTAAGTTCCGCAGAATTGACATTAAAGATAGAGGTGCATGTGCATCTCCTTTTGTTCTGTGTGAAACTAAAAGTGCACAATTTCTACTTTTGTACATCTCATATTAATTGCATTTTTTAGCATTGTCAAGATGAGATTATCTATTTGTCCATTTGTAATTCTAAACGGTTTTAATGGTTTTGGTTGTAATCCATAAGATATCTCATATTAAACTAAATGTCTAGTCTACTATTGGGATTTTTTGCGATGAGGTATATAATATAAGGCCCCAAGCCCAAAGCAGTAGGCTGGCCAATAACTTCCAAATCAATTTAAAACTACGGTGGAAGTAATTGGTAGCCCACAACTTTGAGCTTACAAGGAGCGCACAAATCTATTTTTCTATCCAAGTGATACAGGTTGTTATATATGAGTTCCCTGTATGCATCTATGTATGGTGATATGGGTCTGAAATGATCACTCAATCCATTGTGCTCGACTGCTTGGTACAGCAGTGAGACAAAATATCTACATACTATTGTTTGGGTTGGGGTGGGGAAAGGAAGAGTAAGAAGTCTTGAGGGAACACCGAGATAAACTTGATCTTTTAGGCATTATGTAATGAGTTCAAGCCTCTTAACGCATTGTGTTTCTTTCAAGTTTCTCTTGGGTGATCATTCAATTCCTTTTTGCCATCACATGTATGTATATTTCATGATATTAGTTTTTCAGAGTCTTTTGGATGGATTTATATGTTTTAAGAGTTTGTTTTGTCTCTTGTTTTGTCTGAATGAATGATAGGTTGTTTGGATCACTGGAGCAAGTCGGGGAATTGGTATGTAAAATCATAGTTTTTTGTTACTGTTGTTCCTGTTATTCATGTTTAGTCTTACTAGTTGTTGGAGTTGAGAATTTGGGTTTATGCATGAGTCAAAACCTATGGATCAAGATGATTAAAATGCTGTATGGATTGTCTGACTGTAAAATTAGGCCAGTGACGTAAAATGCATAAAGAAAATATTTTCTTCAGGTATTACTTCAAAAGCATAATGGAAATATAACCATTGTAATTTACCAATCAAGGTATAAAAAACTAGAAATGATGAAACTTAGCCTACTGCTTTTGACAAATTCCACTCGAGTTAACATCAAATATTATGATTACTTCTTAAACTAAGCATATGGAAGTAAAATGTTATCATTTTGAAGATGCACATTTCTCCTAAGGATAGCCTAGGGACATCAAACTATCAGTTTATATATTATATGAAATGATTAAAGAAGTCTGAGATTGGAATTGATTTTTGCAAGCAAAATAATCCTGCCCATTTACATCCATAAGCTCATGTTTTAGACCGGTCGGGAAAAGACAGGAAGAAACCTAAAACTCATTTAGAAGTTAGAATCATTTAGTAACCATTGATGTGGCGCGAAACTTGTAGACACACCACTAGTGAAATCCACCTCATCTACTTCTTTGCAAAGCAAATTTTAGTCGTAAAATATACAAGGACTAATGAATTGAATATCCAACGGAATAAGAGAAGAAATACTCCTCTACATCTCATGAAGACCACCCTATTGCAATTAACTATAATTTGTTTTCTGGTTTGCACATTATGTTGGCCTCTCATTTTTTTTATAGCTCCAAGCCGTTATATGCTATCTATGAGAACTAGGTTGCCCCAAATTTGTATTTTTAATTTCCCATGCATATATCCATTTTGCCTAATAAATCAGTTTCAAGAGAGCTCACAATTTTAGTTACCTTGACCAACGATCCAGAAAATGGTTTACTTTTTGTTCAAGCTCTTCTGTTTGTTAGTTTTGCACACATGGGTGATGGTGCCGTGTGGACTTCTCATAGATCAATTTTTTGTTGCATTGAAGGTAGTTTTGATACTTGCTATTGATTTTTTTACGTTCTTTTGGTCATGATAGTATAGAACTTACATCCTATTATTAATTTGCAAGTCTTTCTATCCGTTCAGAAGTTAAAACTCGAAAAATCCAGCATACCATCTTAGAACTGGAGCAGTTCGAATATTTGTGAAGTTGTATTTTGATTATCTTGCTCTTTTTGCATGAAGGCGAGGTTCTTGCTAAGCAACTTGCAACTTTGGGGGCTAAGATAATTATTTCTGCAAGAAATGAGGCAGAATTGGAGAGAGTTAAGAAACACATTTCTGGTAAGTTCTACCACAAGTTTGGATGATTCTATTTTTGAATTTCTGGTGTTCTTCTTTGTCATGGTTTTTAAAATTTCTTCAGCTTTAGGAAAACATGGACCTGAAGGGGTGGAGATATTACCTCTAGATTTGAGTTCTGGTGAAGATGCAATTGGAGATGCTGTTGAAAAAGCTGTGTCTTTATTTGGTGGAGCAGGTGTGGATTATATGATCCACAATGCAGCCTTCGAGCGACCTGTAAGTTAGAGTCATCTTAGGACTTGGATGTACAGTTTAATTTGTCTTTTTGCTGGTATGGAGCATGCACAAGGTTTGTAGGATAACAATGCTAAAAATTAAGCATCATGATAGCTGATCTAAGGGGCTGTTTGGTTGGTATTCCATTAAGTCCTGTATGGATAAAGCTGTCTGTATAGACTGTGAAGGTTTTTGTTTGGGAGGGTTTCTCAATCGATGGAAAGAGCGTATTTTTAAATTGGGGGGACAAGTTTGGAAAAGACTTGACTTTCTGCATAAGCCCCCCTTAGAAGCTTACTGAATAAGTCACTTTCTACATCATTAAGCCACTACCAAACAGTCGTCAAGTATAGCTGACTGAATAAGTTGTGAGTCCCATTAAGCTCATTAAGCTGCTAACTGACAGGCCCTTACTGACTTATTATATCTCCAAGAGAATACCAATGGCCCTCCTTTCGGTTCTCCACCCAAGGTTGTGGGTTCAACCTTTGGCATTGTATTCCCCGATATACAAAATGCTGCTGATTCTGAGCCTAATCATAAAAGATGAGGACTGAGGAGAATATGTATTAGTAAGGAAATAGATCAGACTGTGGACATCTTCTACTCCTAGTCCACAATATGATTATACAGGAAAAGATATAGTTCATTTCACATGATATTGCGGTATTGCTTGAATCAAGGGACATTCATTGCACTCTTTTTTACACACTTGCACATTGAATTTAAAGGAAAACAAGACACAGAAAGAAGTTAAATGTCAGCTTTGTAGTGTTGCATTAGTGGTACTTATGTTGTCATCTGAAATAAGTTAGTCAGCTTGAATTGGTTTTCTATAATGAGTAGGCACACTGCTAACACTGCTCCTTTACCTGCATGTCCTTGTTGCAGAAATCAACAGCACTCGATGTACCTGAAGCAAGTCTCAAGGTATCACGTGTTGTATTGTTAGATTTAGTAGTATTTCTATTTTTATATTTATCTGTCATGGATCATGGGTATCTGATGTAGTTTATATATTTGGGTTTCCTAATACATAAGATGTTATGTTTTCACTATGAATCTGTACATGATATGACTTATGAGAGATACGATTTGATAAGCTAAAACCCTATTCCCACGAAGATCAGCCAACACAATCAATACCAGCAGCTACTGGGCAATAGTTGCTTTCACAACAGCCTATGTCTGACAGTTCCTTCTGGTGGCAACAGACTTCTTCTTTCTTCTTTTTCCCGGGGCAACAGCCACCTGCGATCTTGACTGGTGTAGGTACACCTGTACTGATCTTATATCTACTTTAGGCTGTTCTTGACGACTCGACCTATTTGCACTCATGTATTGTCGTCTGACGTGCTATTGAAGTTAGATGATCAGTGGTGCCTCCATCTTGATACCTGACAGCCTCACCTTAAAGATCCTTTTTGATGGCCTCCTGATCTCTTTCAAGGTTTAGAAAAAAAATTATCTTACCCCCTCACCTGATTTGATATGTCATGTACATCTCACTTGTAGGTGGCTATACCATGTGTCACTCTTGCATTAAATCATATATATGTTGGTGCTCTAGATTTTATCTATATTTTGTTCTTTTGAAGTAAGTTCACTTGAATCTAATATCTTTATTCTTTTTGCAACTAGGCTACACTCGATGTAAATGTTATGGGGCCAATATCTCTTACACGACTACTGCTCCCTCACATGTTGAAGAGAGGGAGAGGACACTTTGTTGTGGTATGTTGCTGAAATAGTGTTTATTTCATTTGCTAATAGGCTTAGATCTCCTCAAAATACTTAAAATAGATTGTTCTAGTTTTTGTTTAGGCTACATGCCATAATTGCTCATGAAGAGGCATGTGTGGTCAACTTATACGGTTGCTTTCTCTTTCACTCTGTATAAATGACAAGTCCATTATATCTGCAGATGAGTAGTGCTGCAGGTAAGGCTCCTGCACCAGGTCAAGCAGTGTATTCTGCATCAAAATTTGCTTTAAATGGCTACTTCCATTCCTTGCGGTCGGAGGTATACCAAATTCCTTTTGATGTGGACTATTTATATTGGACTACTTCCAGATATGTCGTCATCTGTGATGGTTAAAGTTTTACTAGAAAGAACTCGAAACAAGTAATCTAGCCAAGAACAAGTCTCTTGTATTTGCAGCCTAAAAAGTTTTGGTACTTGCTTGCTTCCAGATTCATTCGTACAAGTAGCTTGGACCAAAAACTGCATTTCTTATTGCCTTTGGTCTTAGTATGCCACAGAACTTCACCAGAAAATTGGAAAGAGCTCCCGCCGCCGCCACCGTCACCGTCAAAAGGTCGAACTGACAGTTATTTAATAAGCAGGACAAAAATCGAAGATAATAAAGCAGAAAACAGATTCAATTAACTAAAACCAAGCCCTGAAACCAAAACCCATAGCTGCTGAAATAGAAAAATAAATTGAACCCAAACCAATGAAGTTGAAACTGATGCCCAGGACCCAGGATTTGAGATGACCGGGATGATGCTAAGAGTCTGACAATAGAAGTAGCTGAAGAAGATGAAACTCTGGTGAATGGCGCCAATGGGACGAGTTGGCTGGGAACGAGAGACCAGGAAAGCAGCATATGTTTGCTGTACCTGGAACATAGTCAAGGAAAAACTTGAATGAAATTCACAGGATATTTGAAAGGAAATCGGAAGGGGTGACCATCTGGACCGCCGGCTCAGAGCTGGCAAGCTGAAGTGCTTTGGGACAGAGAAGACAAATTGGTCCCGAGGGGTGTGGCTGATAAGTGTTGCTACTTCAAGTTCTTTGTTTTGCATTTTCTCTTTTCTGTAATATCTCCATGGGGTTGCTTGGCTGGGTTTTATTCAAGTGATAGAAACTTGCTTAAGATAACCAAGAGAAGCTAAGTGCTAAGCTCACACTTGTGTGCATTGCCTAGTGAATTACCACCGGGACATCAACGGGAGGGTGTAAAGTTTCGTCTGCTTGGTTATGGTTTCCTCAGTCTTTCAAGATATATATTCTTGGGTTGGCTTCAACTTGAAATTATGATTTTATGTAAATTTTTTAGCTTCATAACTTGCAACTACAAAAGCCAAGATTACACTTGAAATCTTCTGCTACTTGATCTGCTCCTCATTCGACTGATGTGAGTATTTTACCATATTAATTGGGCTAAGATAAGGCCATAGTTTACTAAAATGATTTCACATGTCAGAAAAAAGAAGATATATACCCAGTCAATGCTCCACTATTCTTTTTAAACTAACCTTGAGGGCCAGGTCAACTGGCAAATAGAGGCTAGGCCTTGGGCTCCTCTATATAGGTTGCTGGTTCGAGTCTCCTCAAAGCCACCGGGGATTCTTCTGGCTGTAATGTTCAGTCCACAAGTAGCTATATATAAATATACTTTTTAGACTTCAAATTCCGAGAATCTACCTGCAATGTTTCATGAGGAGAAGGAGGGAGAGGAAGACACTCTGCAGTTTACTTGCATCAGTTCTGTATAGAGATTATAATATTGTTGAGATCATGTTGAACAATTAGTTTCTTGACTTCTTAGTTATTTTCCGAGCAATTGATAACTTTTTAGTTTGTCATGACTCCCTTCTTCTCACAAAAAGTACTATCGCCTCGATTGATATGTAGGATAGAAGATATAACGAGAACGAACCATATATCTACGTTATTGGAGTGTCTATCCTACCTGTGCACTATATCCTGGAAATGACTGTTGGTTGGACCTGCTTTTTGGCACCATTTCAACTATCTATTCCATCTTTCATGTTCATTTTGTATGCTTCCAAATTTCTATCTTGTGCTCAAACAAGTTGCAGGTCAAGCATAAAGAAATCCTCGTATGCTTAATTGATGTCCTGAAGGAGCAAAAAGATTTGAAAATTTATGTTCCATCAGCAAGTCATTTTTTCATGGTCATTCAAGCTAGGAAATGGGTTAATGAGAGATGGGGTGTAGAAGGTGGTTATGGTTTAGTAGATGTGGGAAGCAGAATGGTCATGTCATGCAATCTGAAGAAGGTTAGCTGTACTGGCTATCAGCAAGAAAGTTGAGAGTGTGAGAAGGATCATCAGAAAACCATTTTCTCTTTTGGTTTAGTTACTGGATTGTGTTAGAATCGGTGCACTTTGACTGGTAATTAGCTTACTGGACAAAAATTTGATCTAACTACCCAAAAGAAAAGGAATAAGAAGTGAAAATCGATTAAAAGACAAATTATAACAGAAAAATAGTTAGGTTGCCTATCAACCTATCTGTGATTATGGCAGTGCTGATGAAATTAACGAGAACAACTAGAAGCTATTATGGATATCTAAGAGACGACATGTTGGTGTAAAATTCAGAATTGTGATGGCCATACTTATCTTACCATGCATTTTCTTATCATTTCAGCTTTACCAAAAGGGAATCATGGTAACGGTTGTTTGCCCCGGGCCAATAGAGACATCAAATGCACCTGATACGAGCACCTCTGGGCAAAGGGGAGTCAGGGAGGTTAGTTTTATATATTGTGATGGTATACAAAATATAACATTGATAATTTCCTCCTTTATTTCCCAATAAGAGATTGTTAATGTACACTGGTCTAATTACGTGTAGAACTGTGTTCCACGTAAGCTGTTTACAAGTTGCACWTGCTTCTGATTCAGTAAGAAACTAATGCAACTGTTTGAAGTAAGTTGCAATGCCAGATTAAGATGTCAAATACTAAAATGGGAATAGCTTTTWAATCAAATGCTTGATGTGTGGATAATATGAGAAACGCTGTATGTTTCGCACTAAGTTTTTGGATGCTATACCACCTACGGACCCAGTGTAGTGCATATTCGTTCCTTCATCGTAGTGTAAAAAGTGATAGGGTTGTGAAAAGGGCCACCTTATCAATTTGTTGTGTGCCACCATATATATTTTGAAACTACAATGAGGACACAAGTTTCCCTTGATAGAGTTGGTTTGCAAGGCCTTTCTTCCACTCCAGACCTGAGTTCGAATCCCATTAGCGTCAATTTTTTAGTTTTTAGCTTTTAATTTCAGATTTATTATGTTTCTGAAATTTTTTTGCAATAAAAACTTGAACACAGGACCTCATATATGAAAAGCAATGAACTAACCAATAGACCAATGATGATTTTGTGAAAAATATCCCTATATTTTGTTTCTTATAATCAAAATGGTGCCACCACTTGAAAAAAATTTCAATGTCCGTCTCTAAGCAAGACAAGTTCTTAATATACTAGAATCTTCTGAACCTGCCTATTTGTTACTGAAGCCTTTTGGATCGGCTAAACACACCTACACACCCTCGTTAACCTACTACCGCCTCCTACAAGGCCTTAATTTGCAACCTTAGTTACTTGAGTTTGGTTGTTCAATAATTTGAAGCTTCAAAGCGCTGCAATTCTATGATGCTAAAACTGTTCACTGTGTTTCTCATTAGAAACGAGTATCGTCAGAGAGGTGTGCAGAGCTTACACTAGTTGCTGCAAGCCATGGTCTGAAGGAAGCTTGGATATCTTTTCAGGTACTTGTGTCGGTATTATGAGCAAATTATAATTTGCAGACATCTACAAATATTGATGGCTTTAAGCTCTATTGCCATATCCCTACTATTTACATGTTGAATATATTGTTTTGAGCAGAGGCTATGATTGTTTGTCACTTTGTCCCATACTTCTTCCACTATTCTCACATGGTATCAGAGTCAAGATCTAACACTCAAGGCCTAGACACTCTGGGACATTCTATGCCCGTCTAGCCCCCTGTCAACACTTTGGCAATTCATGCATGTCTAGCCTCCTTTGAAGGGGCCGTGTTAAAGTCCCACACCCGTTACACTTGAACCCTTTAGCCTCAATATATGTTGGAACCTCTTTTTTTTTAGCACGCAACTATTTGGGAGTAAGCTAATGGGTTCCACATATTCTTACAAGAATCTAGTTATCTTACTTTTCTTAAAGCATGCATGATTTTATCGATGCAACTTTAGTGTTATATCTCAGAGAGTTTGACCATTGTTTTGTGTTTGGGAGTTGTGAGGTTACTCATAATTGCTGGGGTACATGTAACAGGGTGCTTAATCAAATTACTATATTAGCTTCTCACTCTTATGATCCTCTTTTCACAGGTGAACATAGTATTAGAAAATATTAACAAACACAAGAGAAGCCACACAAGAACTGCTCACTCTCTCAAGTATTTACTCCTACCTTAAACAAGTCAACGAAACAATAAATTCTTTTCTAATTCATATTTGATTAGTTGGCCACACTTATCATAGAAACTATAGTTTAAGCAAGAGGTTTACATAGAGCAATATTCTGGTTTTTTGGTTTCTGAGGACGCATCTAAGGACTACGATTATATGTCCTAAAACAGGGCCATGAGTTTGGTTCTCTCTTTCCCTCATGGTCCTTGAAAACTTTTTGGATGTCATAAGAGTTMCTATAATTGTTTGGTTTTCTTCAGCATATACGTAAGGGAAGAGGATCATTATGATAATTTATGTTGCGACGACATTACCTAATGGAGATGGTCAAGAGAGCATTGCAGCATTGAAATTCTTCATTCAGACAAAAAAAACCCAGGGGATCTGAAACACTTCCTAGATGTTGAAGCGGCCAGATCCCAAAAGGGCTTTTTTTTTTATCAAAGGAAATATCTGGTTGCTATTCTTCCCGAGGTTGGCGTGTTTGACGATTGGTTCATTGATTCATCCGTAATCCCTAATATCAAATTTTACCCAAATGATGGGAGTGCCTTTTGATGACCCCTAGTGGTTTTGGAGTTTGGATAGAAAGCTGAATTAGCGGTCATCATTTTTCTTAAGTAGCAACCGGTTCATGTGTGCCGGGATCATTTGATGACCCTTTGTTTGTTTACCTCTTAATAGTTCCATTAAGAGGCAACCTCTGAATCTTTAAGAGGTGAATCTTGTTTGGCAAAAAAAAGTCTGCCTCTTAATGGTTCTAAAACTCTCTGAATGATTTTGTATCCTGGATCTCCTTTAACCATTAAGAGCCCTAATTTCATTGTACACAATTACCAAACAATTATATTTCATTTTGCACTATATCATAAGAGTCTCTCAATCATTCTGCACCAAACCATTCAGCAATTGCCAAACAACTATCATGAACTACCTTCAATTGCCATACATATTTTATGGCATTTCACCCCAAGCCTTATCATGGACTCCCTTCTATTGAGTGAGTTTGTGTACCTCAAATTGCTTTATGTTATTTGCAGACCAGCTCTATGTGATAAGTTGGTTACGTTCAGCTCGTATATGATCCAACTTAAGAAAGAGTGTTACGAGAGTGCGATAATTAAATATTTTTTTCGTTTTACTTCAGTTTTTTGTATCTGTTTAAAGGGATTCTTCCCATAATTCCTTAACTCTGATTACATGCTCAAACTTACTTCCTTTCCATAGCTAGCAAGAGATGTGTTTAGCATTAATTTTTGGTTATTATTGCATTGCAGCCTGTGCTTGCTGTTATGTACCTGGTGCAATACATGCCATCTGTTGGATTTTGGCTAATGGATAAGGTACTTCCTTCTTTTTAGGCTTGTTTTATTTATTTACTATAATAAAGGACAAAATTGCATGAAAAAGTAACGTACTTTAACTTGATTCTTATTTTGGGTAACATACTTTCAAAAATTTCATTTTGGTACCTAAGATGTGAAGTTTTAAACATTTAAGTACCCGGGTAACCGGTTGAAGCATTAACCGATTACCATGCTGATGTAACAAGTGATGTGGTATCCGATTAATGCTTTACCAAATAATACTGGGTTGGATACCACATCACTTGTCACATCAGCATGGTATCTGCTACCCGGGTATTTAAATGTTTAAAACTTTACATTTTAGGTACCAAAATGGAAGTTTTAAAAGTACGTTTTCCCAAAATAGGAATCAAGTTAAAGTATGCTACTTTTTCATGCAATTTTCCCTATAATAAATAAATAAAAAAGAATAATAAATAAATATAAATAAAACAAAATCAAAAAGAAACAATAAATAAATAAGAATGAAACAAACTCATGTTCATGGGTTTTCTCAACTGCAAAGAGAAAACCACTTCTGTTGGAAGTTTTTATAGAAACAAAGTACTCACAGTTACCAAAGGGCGTTTCGCTTCCTAGGAGGTCTGAGGTTCAAATCTCAACAAAGATGAGGAGGGTATATGAGTTTATTTGTTGCATTTGCCGTATATAAATATTATATATACTTCAAAAAAAAAGTACTCATAGTTACTCCCAACCACTTTATTCTTTATCGTAAAGGTCATGTCTCTTTATACCCCGCCTTTCTAGATCCCACCTCTTTTGGTTTGGTTTAAAGCGATCGTGGTTGCTGTTATTCCGTATCCTCTTAGAGCATCCCGAATGATAAGCGTTTCTTTTGAGCTTTTCTAAGAAAAAGTGGGACCCACAAGCTTAGCCGGTTACAATCATAAGTGGGACCCGAAAAACTTTTTCACAATCTTATGTGGCCAAAAAACCTACTCCCCCGCCCTCCCCCTTCAAAATGAAAATAGCACATCGTTTTAGAAATATGTAATTATTACATTTTTTAAACAATTAAAAGACACTTTTGCCCTTGATAATAGAGAGAAATTTTATACATCTCATAATTAAGAGTAGGATGAGAAAGTGGATATTTATTTTGGGACAAACTAAAATAGAAATGTGGACACTTAATTTGGGACTGAGGGAGGTATTTAGTAACGATCTCCGAAAAGCTCCATTGTAGATGCTCTTAGAATCATAAAACCGCTAACTCTATCATCATTAATGTGAAACGACTTCAGATTGGGGCAAAACGAGTCGAAACAGCTGCACAAAAGGGCAACACGTATTCAATGAACCTACTCTTCGGTCGAAAGAAGGAATAGCTCGATCTTTTCTCATCGGTCTCATGATGGCATTAATAGTTTCACTACATTTAGTTGTATGGTTCTTATTTTTGTAGTAACGTTTCCTTTTAATCTTATTTTTGCAGTAACATTTCCTATAATATTTGTTTAGTACGTACATAATCCTGGTTAGAGATGGCCAAAATGGCCCGCCCTGGACCAATTTGGCCATTCTCAAATTTGGCCCAATTCATGGCCTAGTCGGTGATGCCATGAGCCGTTGCCCCCTCCCCCCTAGGGGGCCAGTCCTGCCTGTGGTTTTATTTAACTCTGGATATAAGACTTTGTTTAAGGGGCAGTTTACCAAACGCTTATCCGGGTAAGCATTTATCAAGTGACGCTACCTCACCGGATGGATATGGTAAGGGCCAAGAATCTTACCCGATAAGAACGAGACAAGGACCAAGAGTCTCACCCGGTAAGTGAGGACCAAGAATCGTTCTTCGGCTTAATTTATTACTATTCCCCTACTCTGGATATCGTCTTTTGATGGTCCTTAGACCCTAACAATTAAATGTACTACATGTGAGGCCATTTTGGTCATTTTATATAGTAAATATGAAAAAGACAAAATAACTAATGACAAAATACAATTCTAATTTTTCTCACCTAAGTACTTTTTATTAATTATAACAACCATTATCTACAATACTTAAATAAAATAGTAAATTACATTTTTATTTATTTATTTATTTTGATTAACCTGCATATCCAATACACTATGAGAGTCGATTAATTTCAGGGGACCACTTGTTTTGTGGGTAGCTCAGAGTCACCGCATTTGAACCTCCATGACCATAAAAGGATTTTTATCCGTCATTGAATTTGAACCTGGACTTCCAGATATGTTTGACCTTTAGAGCCTTGACCTTTAGAGCTCAACCTTTAGAGCCTTGACCTTTAGAGCTCAAGCTCAAACTAATTAGGCAACATCTTTATGGTTAAATTACATTTTTAGTCCCTATGGTTCATTGAAAATTTCTATTTTTGTCCACATGGTTTTGGAATTACAATTTTTCTCTGTGGTTTATAATTTATAACCTTTTTCGTTCTTATGATTTAAAATTTATCGTCTTTTTCGTTCCTATGATTTACAAATTATTTCTACTTTAGTCCTTAATATTTAAAAGTAATGTTTTGTCCTCAAGGCGAAAATATAAATGAATTATAAACCATAGGGACGAAAATCAAAATTTCAAAACCACAGAAACGAAATACACAATTTTTAACAAACCACAAGGATAAAAAAAAACGTAGTTTACTCTAAATATAATTATTCTAATTAAAAAGTAAACTATTTTTTTGATCGGAGTGACAGCTCTGAAAAGACAGATTGCCCATTTCGGAGGACTCTTCTGACCAAACAAAAAATATGTAATTGTAACACTTCTGACTTATAACTGAGGGGTTGTTTACCAAACGCTTATCCGGGTAAGTGTTTACTGGCAAAATTCAACATTATCACTTACTGGGTAAAAATTTTATTTCATCAAAACGGTACCAAATGCAACAGTTGACTTGGTAAGCGCTAACCGTGGTAAGAGTCATCATTCTCACTTACCGTATAAGATTCTCGGTACTTGCATTTGCTTTTATCGGGTAAGATTATTTGGACTTACAATATTCATCCAGTAAGGTAATGTTACTTGATAAACGTTTATCCGGGTAAGCGTTTGATAAACGGTCCAGCAGTTGGCAAAAAGATGGGACGACTTTGTTTAAATATAAGACAACTCTTGGGTTCGATCTTGGACCCTTGCTAGCTTCAACTTTTGAGTGAGCCAAAAAATGGCCCTGCACACTGGTAATCCTTGGAGACCAGTTTCGTATAAGGCGAATAGAGGTCATCAGTAATTGACATTTACCCAAATATTAACATGAAATAAAATATATTTTAATCTTAGGGGCCGTTTACGATTGGCTTACCCGGGTAAGCGCTTAACAAGTCACATCGTCTTACGGGATGAATACGACAATGACCAAAAATCTTATCCGGTAGGTGCTAAGGAAAGGCCCACAAGGACCAACAGTCTTTTACCCAGGAAGTGATGACAATGACTTTTACCATGGTTAGCCCTCACCGAGCAAATTGTTGCATATGATACTGTTCAGTGAACTAAAATCTTACTTCGTAAGTGATAATATTAAATTTTACCAGTAAACATTTATCTGAATAAGTATTCCGTAAACGACCCATTAGATTAAAATATAAATTACAAATTTTTTATTAATATTACGATAAAAACCACTTCTAAGAAGGGTATGTAATTTCACAAGTAAAAGATAACCAGAAAACTTTGAGTTCACATCTGTTGTACAAAGTCTTTAACCATCCTGAACAAAAAAAACACCCTTTTCTCTTTCAAAACCATATCAACAAAAACCGACATCGTCGATCAACGGAGTTCCGCTTTATACGATCATGAACTAGTCGAAAAACCGCTCAAAAAGCTATCACGAACCCAATAAACTTGCTTTCAGAGACTTCAAAACAGACTTCGAAGCAAGTCTTTCCGCCATTTTCTCGTCAGCGGCCATGCATGTGTCTTTAAAAACACCATAATCGGCTTCTACTTCTATAGTGAACGATATTGTACCATTATCCAACCGTTTGGCCGACGACTTCACTTCTAAATGATTTTT